TGCACTGCAATCAAACACAACTATGAAATAAGAAAAGGCAGTGGTGTGTCTCACATCACTCTCGCTCTTTTTCAATCGTTTTGATCGACCCTTCCATAAGAAACTGTACAGTAATCATGGCTTGCCGTGAAAACAGAAAAGAAAAAAAAAAGTGCCTTCTGAGCTAAATAGCCATTATAAGAAGTTAGTTTGAAAGTGGGGTAGTTTCAAACTCTCTCTTTTCTTACTGATACAAAATAAAAGGCATTTTTGTCACCATGTATATCTTTATAACCTAATATAAATCTCAGTTTTAAGCCAGGAAAGAGGAGCCTGCCACCCCCATTCACTTCTTTCCTCTATTCTTAGTCCAATTTAACATAGATTGGTTGAGACCCTAATTTTATCTTGGTCTACTAGAAATATTTTTCTCCTCCTTCTAGGGTTCTACCATGGATAAGAGGCTAAGAAGACCTTAAAATAGCAATCCACGGACTGTTAGAGAGACTTGAGTTTCTTCCTTGTCTAGCTACCAACAAAGAAGAAAAGAACTTAAAAATTAAATCAGCTGGTTAATGCAGAAATGAACCCAAAAATTTTATAAAGGACTGAATTTTTGTTTAAATTAGTTCAGCCCAAGGATTAAAGTATTGGTATCGGGTATCGTATCGGATAATTTGGATACGGATATGCTTGGGAAACACATGGATACGAACGAAAAAAATATGGAAAAGCTTGGATACACTAAGAAAATGCACACGAATTCCATAAATATATTAATAGCATTAAGTTTAATATCAAAACAACTATAAATAAATATAAATACATAGGAATTTATATTTAAATGATATATATATATATATATGAAGAAATATATTATAATTAATATAGCAAGACATGTAGATATTATGCAATTTTATTAATAATGCATCAATCAAGAGTCCAAGGCAAATATTATATAGATTTTTACAAATTAAAACATGCAAAAAGCCAATATTATTTTATTATCTATTAAAGTGTAAGGTGTAAAGCATATGCAACTATTATATTTGAATTATTATATCATTTTTTCTATTTTACTATTTTTATTTTTTAACATTAACAAAAAATTCAACTAAAAATTTAATTCTTAAATGTTTGATAAATAATATTTATATTTATTAAACAATAAATATGATATTATAAAATATAAATTAAAATATCAATTAATAATTTATAAAAATATATAATCTTAACTTAAAATATATCAAATCTATTAAACTTTTGAAAAAGCATATCATATGAAAATTTATAAATTTTAATTACTAAAATAATTATTCCATTATTAATATTTTATTTTTTTTTTAATTTTGAAGTTAATTTTTTTTATATGAAATGTAGATTAATGGATTTGATAGATTCAATTTATATTATATTTTCAAATACTTTGTAAACAATACTTTTATTTTTATAAATAATAAATACTTGTTATTTAATGCAAATTAAAATATTAATTAATAATTTATAAATAATTAAGATATATACCATATACAAATTTATAAAATTTAAGTATTAAAATAATTGTTTTATTGTAAATATTTTATTTGTATAATTTTTTTAAATTAAAATTAATTTTTGATATATATATATATATATGTGTGTGTGTGTGTGTGTGCGTGTGTGTGTGTAGATTTTATAAATTATTTATTCTATTGATTTATAAAATACTAATTTTGAATATTGTTCTTTTTAATTTATAGTTAAAGTTTTTGAAAATAAGTGTATGTTGATTTTGTTTTCATGCAAACATTAAGTTTAATAAAAGATATTTTATTACACTTATTAAAATAAAATAACAAATGGCTTTGTGGTTAATGTACATGTGGGCATAGGCATTAACCAACTTGGGTTCAAGTCACGCTCCTATTTTTTTATTGTGAGATGTTTGTATCGGTGCGTATCAGCTGATACTATGCAATACACACTTCCTCCAACCAAGTAGAGAAAGAGCGGAAAGCAAGGTTTCGGGTTTCTAAAAAGCCAACAACCCACATGGAAAGGCATGCCAAATGGGGCCTAAATTAAGTTGCATTACAAGAAAACGGGGATCTAGCAACAAAAGTTTAGAGGACTTTGTCAAGGGTTAAATGGAGAACTTTTGTCATGAAATTTAGCAAGTTGCTTAAGTATGCGTTTTTGGGCTTAACAACAAGGTATGGTTGCTTTAGAAGGTTTCAACAATCGTTTTAAGCTTCACAAGTTTTCACTAATAAGCATTGTTGAAATGGAACTTTTAGTTGATGGATGGTGAGATCTAGGAATTCAGAGTTGAGATTTGGTCTGAATAAGTAGTTTTGCATTTTGAGTCAAATTGTTGGCTCTAATTTGATGGTAAGAGTGTGGGTGGGGGTTGATCAAGGTTGTTGGATCAGAATCGAGCAAGTTTGACAATGGATTTGAAGTGAAGGATTTTAGGCTAAAATTTGATTTCCTAGGGTTTTTAGGTGCTTCAGGGAAACTGGAGTGGTATGCTCGGGTGTTTGCAATATGGATTTTAGGGTGTTTGAGAAAAGGCCGAGTGAAAACCAAATGCTAACAATCTGACCATTAATTTACCATGTCAGTGACTCAAGTATTCATGGATCATGTTTTTAAATTGCATTGCATGCCATAGACAATTGTCAATGATAGGGATCATCCAATTTTCTTGAGACACTTTTGGCACAAATTGTTCGAGATACAAGGGGTGGCTTACCACCAACGTACCATCCTCAATCTAATGGCTAAACTGAGGTGGTCAATAAGTACTTGGAGATTTATGTGTTGTATGACCAATGATAACCTTGAGATTGGGTCAAATGGTTGCCTTTAGCTAAGTAGTGGTGGTATAACACCAATTTGAGACTATGGGTTTCCACCTATATTCCTTACTTCCTCGGAGACTCTTCTATTGAAGCAGTTGATACGAGTATAGCTGAAACAGAGTCCATATTCAATTGCTTGATTAGAATGAAGTAGATGATGGATAAGCATAGAACTGAGTGACACTTGATATGGGAGGATGGGTTTATCTCAAAGTTCATTCCTATAGGCAAGTGACTACTGCTACCAGAAGATCTTAGAAGCTTTTTCCAATGTATTATGGACCCTGCTGGATTGTGGACAAGGTGGCTTCGTTGCTTACAAATTGTCTCTACTGCCTGGAGCTCAAATTCATCCCACATTCCATGTATCTCAGCTTAAAAGGAAAGTAGGTCCAACAGTTTCAATTTCTCTACATTCCCTGCAGCATTATGCTCTGACTCTGATTCCTTTGCTTCAATTCCAATTTTTATATTGCACCATCGCATGGAGCATGGTTAGGATTTGATCTATCAATTGGTGGTTTTAAGAACTTGTCCATTTAAGTTCATTATTTCTTTTGGCTTAGATTGAATTAAAAACATGTTTTTTTTTTTCCATTTTTGAGTAGACTCCCTCCCTGGTAGATGTTGTAAAACTGATGATATGGGGCTTGGTCGCCTGGAGATCTGATGGTAGGGGCCTACATGTGACTGAGCTTGGATATGATATTCTATTTGTTGGCTTAAATGCAGGGAGACCGGGCATTTTATTCTTAGAAAATATCCGTGCTTCCCTTGTCACAAAGAATGATATTCTATTTGTTGGCTCATCTATCTTATACATTTAATAGATTTAACGATAATTAGGGCACTATGCTGTTCACTGTCTTCAACATTCCTGAACAGGGTAGTGCTGCTACAATCCCCGCCCCCCTTTTTTGTAAAGAAGAAACAGATCTGTAGAAGAACAGAGACAAAGACTCGACTGTTTTAAACAATTAAACAATAAGAAGATCAAAATAGGAAAAGCTTCGAAAACCTTTTCTCAAATGAAAAGCACTAGACTGTGTTCCTCTTCTTTGTATGGTCCTAGCGGCTGCAACTGGATCAGCCAAAAGTCGGCTTCCTATTTCCCCTCTCTACTTGCCCATACCAACTAGTGAGTAGTTTTCTAATTCTGGTGTCCTATTTCCCCTATTATGTTATTTATTTGATTCATCAATAGTGAATTCAATGAGATTGAGTTGGAATCTCAGGTGAGTTTGGGATTAGATCAAGTGGTCATTGCCAGAAAATTAGTTCATCGTCACGTTTCATCTATTCAAATAAGCGGCAACCGTGTGGCTTCAAGGTTCAAGATAGGGATTCTAATCAAAGGTTCAATCCCAAAGTTGTACCTGCTTGTAAAATGTATGAATGGTGTTTGAATGTGTAAACCAACATATTGTTGCAGCTATGGTTTCTTTCACTATGGCTTCAGACTTTGAAGCAGACACTTTGGTTTTGTCAAATTGTCACTCACTTCTTTCACTATGGCTTTAGACTTTGAAGCAGAAATGGGAGTTCCTGGTTCACAGCAACAGCACTAATCTTTTTTTTTTTTTCTTTTATGATTTCATTTGAAATGGTTATGGATGCAGGTTCTGCATCTAAGAGTGAAAGAACGGTGGAAAGATGCAATATTTTTTCAAAGTTCAAACCAGTTCCTCTGCTATGGTCGCCATGTTTGTAATTTTCACCCTCCTAAATTGTCTCTGTATAATCGGTTTAATTTAGAGCTGAGGGAATCTTTTGAAATCTGGTTTTTTCTTCCCTCCATGGAAACTGCCTTTAAAATCCCATTAAGACTGCATTTGGCATTCCTTATTTTAAGGACTTCTCTCCTTTTTGCAGTTAAAATGTCCCTATGAACACTGAATTTTTAACAGCAAAAAGATGGGTCCTTAAAACAAGGAACGCCAAATGCAGCCCAAGTCCTTCAAAATCAAAATGATGTGGCAGAAAATAATTAGAAGGTTCGTGCAAAAGGTGCACCAAAGGGTCCATAAAATGCGTGCTCATCTTTTCTGTACAAGTTTTGATCAACAAAGTGCAAAGTTGTGTACATTGGGTTCCAGAATCCAATTTGATTCAAAGTTACAGATCATGGTCCCTGCCCAACCCTAGAAAAAAAATCATAAATAAAAACAAAATAGTCAATAAATAAAATTTAAGACCAATTATATATTTGGTTGCAGTCATTTAGTAATACCCAATTGCATATACAGCTTAAGAACAATTACATATTTACTAGTTGAAATGATAGGTTGAGTGGCTACCATCAGCTATGCCTACAAGTAAGATGGCTACCTATCCAAAAAGATAGTCAGACGGCTTGGAAACATGTAGTCAATTAATCGTGTTCACTGCAATGCTTTTTTAGATTACAACCACTGCTGAACTAGGGAACCAGATATTTCATCAAGAATCCACCATTATCCCTGAAAAGTTCATTCCAACCTTTTCTACAGGGTTAATATCATGTGGTGTTAAATGGGTCCTGATAAACTCTCTACAAGATGATATTATATTCTTGAATGTAGGGTTTGGATGGTGATTTCCGGCAACAAGGAAACTCAACTCATGTATCAACTTAATAAGTGTATGCTTTTCAATGCGGTGGGAATTCATCTTGAATAAATTAAACCATGTTTTCTCAGAGAAAGCATGTAATTCACTTGTCTTGTGTCCAATTATGGAGATAGCTGCAGCACAGTCATTTTCCTGCAATTTCAAGAAAAATATTTCCTCCAAGAGAGCTAGAGGTGGAACCTGTTCTGCCCCAACCAAGTGATTCCAAGTAATGTCCAGCAACTCTCCCTGAACAGTGTTAATAATAGATTTTGTTAGTGAACTCTCCCAAATATAAATATATGAAAATTAACAACATACTCTGCCTGAATTATCTTAAGGTGAGCACTTGTAAAGGACCAAGATACACCATTTTATGGATGAAACAATGATGGGATCAGATTTTTATGCCCCGTTCGCTTYTTGGTAAGTCACTTACCCAGGTAAATGCACTTACCTGGGTAAGTGTTTCCCAGGAAAGACTTACCCGGGTAAGTGCATTTACCCATGTTCTTTTATTTCCCATGTAAATAAGGCAATGACAATCTTAGCCATAAAAATTCCATTTATTAAAAGGGGCATTTTTGTCCCATCCAAGTATTGGAAACTTTTTCCTAGATAGGAAAGTTTATTTACCCACCTAGGAAATAGGTATAACTTACCCAGGTAAGTGGTACACAAGAAAATAAACTTTCACTGGTCTTTATATAAATCTGAAAAATGAACATGGGTTTCTTGGTCAATGGGAATCAAAATCCCATTGACCAGCTTTCCCCCCTCTCAAAATCGGAAAAAGAGCGTCCCCTTGGAGTCATCATTTGGAGTAGGTTAATGACATTAGGGCTTGGAGTGGGATTATGATACACTTTCTCACTGTTAAGGCAACCCATCGTCTTACACGAACAGCTATCTCCCCCAATTCTTAGAGCATTAGTATTGAAATAAAAAATGTCAAATAAATACTTATTTCTGAAAATTTGGTTACGTCCCCCGTAAGACATGGGACAATAGATGTTATATACCTCTTTCATTACAAACAAAAATTTCCTTTTGTACAAACACAAGGATATGGGTTTCTGTGCACACCCTTGTTCTATATTTTAGGATTATGATCAGTTAATGGTTGATGCCACTAACTTAGAGATATAATCATCATCATCCATGCCTTGTCCCAACTATATGGGGTTGGCTACATGAATCCTGTTTCACCAATTCATTTTATTTAAAACCATATCCACTATTAAATTATTAGCGCTTAAATCATTTCTTGGTGCTTCTACCCATGTCCTTTTTGGTCTACCCCTAGCTCTTCTAGTCCCTTCCACTTGTAACAAATCACTTCTTCTACCTGGAGCTGTTGGTGGTCTTCTATGCATGTGATTAAACAATCTTAGCCTACTCTCTCTCATTTTATCACTTATTGGAGCTACTCCTAGGTTTCTACGGATGGCTTCATTCCTGATCCTATCCCTTTTAGTTTGTCCACTCATCCATCTAAGCATTTGTATTTCAGGCACGCTCATTTTCTGAACATATTGTTTCTTGACTCCCAACACTCTGCTCTATACAACATAACTGGCCTTACAATTGTTTTATAGAGTTCTCCTACAATCGCATTTTCCTATCACACAAAAGTTCAGATGCACCCTTCCATTTTTTCCAGCATGCTCTAATTCTCTAGGTGGGTGACATCCTCCTCAATCTCTCATGTGTTATGAATTATTGAACCAAAGTACCAAAAATGGTCTCATTGAGTTATCTCTTGGTTTTCAATCCTAAGTGTATCCTGATTTACACTCTTTTTATTACGAAGTACATGTCATATACTCTGTTTAAGTCCTACTTATTTTAAAACATCTTGTTTCTAAGGCATTTGTCCCTAAGCTTAACTTTGCATTTAATCCTTCATTAGTTTCACCAACTAAGACAATGTCATTCACAAACAACATGCACCGTGAAACTTCATGGATATGTTTAGTCAATTATCTATGATTAGTGCAAATAGATAAGGCCTAAGAGCTGAACCATCATAACTGTAAAATCTGAAGTCTCTCCCATCGGTGTTCTAACATTGGTTGTTTCCCCCTCATGCATACCCTTTTTTCTTTTTGAACCCCAAAGTTTTCTCCCAATAGAGGGGTGGCCACCGTTAAATTGTATATTTTATTAATTGTGAAAAAAGAAGTAAAGGCGTAGGAGGGGGGGGGGAGGACGTAGAAGCCTTGCCCCTCTAGAAAATCTAATTACATCAAGATCCACCTTCATTATATAATAATTATAATTGGAAAAAGAAAAGAAAAAAGGTGGATCTCAAAAAAAAACTTAGCAAACTCGTAAAAAAGGAATGCCTGAACCATCATCTCTAAGAAGATGTTAGGCCTTAGGAGGTAGATCTTCGTAAGAGTTGTATTTAACGTGTGAAAGAGAATTGCTGGCCACTTTGGATAGCCAATTAGCCTCCCTAAAAATGTGTACAACCACAATGTCCATGGTCATTAAGTAGTTTTTCAGATGATCCTTCCAGTACCATAATTTCCATGGGAGAGTATAGTTTCCTTGGATGATTTCAACTAATATTTGGGAATCTGTCTCAACCACAAGCTTCATAATTCCCAACAACCCACCATATGATCTCTTTCGTAACTCTATCATAACCCTTTTCTAGATCAATGAACACCATATGATTTTTCTTCTTCTCTCTGAACTTTTTTTATCAATCATCTCAAATAAAAAAATAAGTTTCCATGGTTGATCTCCCTAGCATAAAGCCAAAATGGTTCTATAAGACACTTGTTTCAAATCGTAATTGTTGTTCAATTATTCTCTCCGTTTCATAGTGTGTCTCATGAGTTTAATCCCTTGATAGTTATTACAAATTAATATAACACCTTTGTTCCTAAATATTGGCATCATACTACTATTTCTCCAACTAGTAGGCATCCTCTTTTCTTTTACTATCTTATTAAATAGCTTGGTTAGCCTTAACAAGCCTACCTCTCCACACTTCTATTAGAAATTTGGAATCCCATCAGGTCCTAACACCTTCCCCTTTTTCATCTTATTTAGTTTTTCATCTTTTTTTTTACTTTAGTATGGCTAGTTTTTCCTCCATTAGCACCCTCTCCCCATTGTTCATTTAATAATTTTTCAAAATAGTTTTTCCATCTTTGTTTGATGTCCTCATCTTTCACCAAGACTCTTTAATCTTCATCTTTAATGCACCTAACATGGTATAAATCTCTGCTTTTCCTTTCCCTCAGCCAGTGATTTAAAAGGCATGCCTAGGTGCACAAGCGAGGTGCATTTTAGGGTAGGCACCTCACCCAGGTCCTAGGCGCAGCCCTTTCAAAAGGCATGTGCTTGGTGCGCCTTGCACCTCAGCCTAGGCGTGCACCTTTTGAAAATTTGACACTTTTTTTCTTTTGTTTTAGTCTAATGGCTGGGCCAGGGGCTCCGCCCCTGGATCCCTGTGCTACGCCCCTCGAGGCAAGCCCAAACATGTCCATGTTAGGGTCTTAAGTTCTTAGATTTCACACAAAAAATAATGATTTTATAGTTTTAATTGCTTTTTAAGAARATGTTTTATTAAGATGAATGAATGAACAACATTACCAAATAATGATTTTTGCACCTTGCTTAAAAAGGTGCACGCCTCGCCTATGTGCCTTGTGCCTCAGGCACAATTTTTTTTTGATAGATAATAATAATTTTATTAATTAAAAAACTTAGTATACATCATACAATTTCCCAGAAAGAGGCGCGACGTGCAGCCTCCAAACTACATCATAAAGCTTACAATTGAGCCCAAAAGAGATGATTCCTATGTACTCCTTGTTTAGCTAGGAAGTCTGCCAGCCCATTTGCCGATCTTCTTTCCCATTGAACTGTGACTGAAATATTTGATGCTAGCCACTTAAATCTTCTCAAATCCCCCCTGTACGGCCAGACTGCCATCTCTGGTTCTTTTAGCCATCCAATAACCAATTTGGAGTCACCTTCAATCATTAAATGCTCCACTGCCAACTCTTTTGCAATTTCTGCTCCTTGTATCACAGCTTGGAGTTCTGCATTTACTGAATCTCCCAACCCTATAGGTTCAGAAAATAGAGCTACAATCTGGCCCTCATCATTTCTAAAGACTCCCCCTATTCCAGATGGCCCCGGGTTGCCCAAACTACTGCCATCAAAATTTAATTTAATGAAGCCTACATCAGGATGCTTCCAATCCACCACTAACTTGCTTCTGACTGCAGAACTTTTAGCTAGTTCCAAATTCCTCCTTATATCATCAAAAGTGTAGGATGAGAACAGGTCCAAGGATTTTACCCAACTTATGGCCCTACATAAAATACTTTCTAACACACATGTCTGATCCCTCTCCTTGTCATTAAAGATTCTAGCATTTCGTTCCTCCCACAGTCCACACCAAAGCACCTCTAGCACGCCTCCACAAAACTCTTCATCTTCTCTTTGGCCACCTGAAAGTTGTAGGATAAAAATGAGTGCAAATATGTTCCGGTTCTGTCCACCTGCACCCAAAAAGATCAAAAAGCTTTTCCCAAAGGCCTACAACAAAAGGGCAAGTGATTAGTATATGGTAGCAACTTTCTTCATTTGCTTTGCATAGGGTACACCAGTTAGGAGAGATACAAAGACTAGGTCTTCTTTTTTGCAAAACATCCGGAGTCTTGATTTTCCTAAGGGAGACTTCCCAACAAAGGGATCTCACTTTAAGAGGGACAGGTTTGGACCAAACTTCCTTGCTATGAAAAAGTTGAAGCAATGGACAGGAGCACAAGGAAGCAAGGAAAGAAGTACAATAAAAGGATCCCGAGGGCAAAGGCTTCCAAATACGGGAATCTACAAAAGAAGGGTCCAAGCAAACATGATCAATAGTTTTAAGGAGTAACGCAACCTGGTCAAGCTCAAAATCTCTCAAATCTCTTCTAAAACCCAAATTCCAATTTATACCAAAAGAAAAAGAGGATAAAAACCTTTGAATTGGCTCATTTTTAAAACATGAGATGGAATACAAGGAGGGAAAGAGGTCCTTGAGGGCAGAGTCACCAATCCAAACATCCTCCCAAAACAAAACCCTATCTCCAGTACAAGCATCATACCTGATCAGGTTTAGGAAAACGGGGAGAATACTATGAATAGCCTTCCATGGAGATTTCAGCGTAGCCCACCGAGATACACCAGCATCCCAACCATTGTCTGCAACACCATGCACACTCCCTACAACTTTA